ACCATCCTATCAAATAGCGGTCACCTTGCCAAATAGGGAACTCATAGCAGATTCAGGACCGGTAAATAATATTCAACAACAAAACACACTATCCTTACACACAGGGGATCGCAAGGAACCAACCTTAGCTGGTAATGAAAATGCTGAATTGTCCTTATTTGACAAAGGCATCAACACCGAAACATTCTTACATGACAGAATGAGTGAAACTGCGACATTCTTACCTGAAAGAGTGAAAGAAGCAGCAACATACTTACCTGAAAAAACGAAAAAAAACGAAGTATACTTACCTGACGTAGAAACGGGGGATGAAACTAACACAAACCTACCTCAATTGGATGGTGTCCTAAAGTCGCAGCAACGTGATGTAAGTTTTGAACCCATCATACACGATCAGACACATACATCTGAAAAGACCAAAGTCTTAGAGAATAGCTCATCAGCTCTGTCGGAAACAGAGAGCTCACTTCGTCCTGTCTCAGTTGAGAATCAAACCGAAACGGATGAGCATGATACTGTGCAACCAGAGATGTATGTCAGGAGATCTGAACGAAGTAGTCAGCCTCCTCAAAGACTAACTTACTCTCAATTGGGCAATCCACTAGTGACCGTAGTTAGGTCCCTTTTCCAAGGACTTAATAAAGCTTTTATTGACTCTCTTACTCAAGAAGTTGTGTACCCCGTAGAAACAATGCACAGGGACGTGCATGATATTTAATGGGGGAGGATGTAACCCAGAAGCTAGAACCTTAATGAGGTATTAACTAATTGGCTTACTAATATGATCCATCCTCAATTTAGATAAAATATAAAATATAAATTAAGGAAATTAACAATACTAATTAATAGATATCTAATTAACTAATAGATAATTTCATAATGAATTATTGGAAGGGTGAATAACTAAAATAACGAGTTTAATATTAAACATCGGTTAAAACAAGAATCTTGAACATCCCTAACAGAAACAGAAGAGGAAAGCTGTATACTATTGGTCCAGGTGGGAATCTGAAATTTCATTGGCTGAGAGAAATAAGTCCCGCCTCCGCGAAATAAAACCGTGCGACGCAGCTGAGCGAGAGGAGAGACAAACGGCTGTGCAGCACGCAGATACAGAAAGCAAAGACTGAGCGGTTAGAGAGAGAGAGAAAAAAAAACAACGGTCGAGGCCGTGAAGAACCCCGATTTGGGTGCCGCATAGATAGAGGGAGAGGCGGACTTGACTCCTTCTAATAAGAGCTAGGAACTTGGAACCAACGCGGTGAGTAAAGAAAAAAGAAGAGAAAAAGCTAACGATGCAACTTTAAAAAAAAAAGGAAACTTAAATAGCTTATCAAATTAATTCCATTCTTATAGATTTGTGTGGAGACGACAGAGTGAACCAATCCTCTGTAGGAGGGAACCGTTGGAGCGCGTTGGTGAGTGAATGAGATTAAATTCAGTAAATTATTAAATTCAAAAAGCTAATTACAGCAACCGAGGTGACAGCAGTGGGCTGCTAGACGTTAGATCCCAGGAGTTAACATCTCAAACTACCAGTTAACGGTGGTAGGGCATATAGGAGTTAACGGCTCAAACCGCCAGTTAACGGCGGTACGGCATATGGGATTCCCAGGAGTTAACGGCTCAAACCACCAGTTAATGGTGGTACGGCCTAGATGTACAAGGTCCTCAGGGGCGTTATAGCTAACGCCATAGAATTAGCAATGCGTCCCTTAACCAAACATTTAATAATAAAAAAAATAGATAAATAAAAATAAATAAAAGCTAACTGATTAGGGAGGAATTATTTTACAAAGGTGGACCAAAGGACCAGAATTTATATTTTGTTGAATTTTGTTATAGAACATTTTATTTATTTATTTATTTGTTTATTTATTTATTTATTTATTGTGTTACAGATATACAAGGTGTCACAATGCTGTATAGAAACACAACTAAATGTATCCTTGTTGTCATGAATGTATTTCTTGTCGAATAGTGTAGAGTAATAGAATCTAACTGAGCCTATTGAGCTGAACAATTGTTGTCATATGTAATTATATTTCCAGAGCTACTGAGAATTATTTTAATAGACAATCAAATTGATGTTATGTTAGTTGAACTGTGAACCCAAACATGATTGGCTATGCCAATAGAGTGAAGCATTTGTTTAAGTCTGTAAGACTTTATGCTGTGATGTGACGAGAAGGGTCGATGCCAACTTGCTAACAGTCCTGTTGTTTACAGGCTGGGTTTTTTTTTTTCCTTGGGTTTGATCCCGACTCCTATGATCACTCACTTGGAACGAGAACTGGATTTCTTCCTGACGAGGGAGATGGCGAGCCTTAACCACTGAACGAACCAGGACATCTCAAGTAACTGAAGAGCAGACTGCTCTCTTCAGTGAACAATCTCAACGGTGTGGTAGGAAAAAATCGCACCACCGGACTCTGACTTTCACCCCAAGCGTGGGGATTTGACTTGACGCCAGCTGACTTGTGACTCATATGATCAAATCTCATACCGACCATTTTACTATTGTCGATTGTTTTCATCTGTTTTTGTGTGTTATCTTTATGTGTTATATTTCCCATTATTATTAAAATTTAGTATATAAACCGTTTCATGCTATACCCGTGACTCCAGTCATTCTTAAACAACCTCCAATTCTCCCCGAACCTAATTATTGGCCCATTTGTTTATTTTTTCTTTTAATTATCTTATTGTATCCTGTAATCCGGTTACATAGGCACAGATTATTCAAACATTAATAGTATTATTCAAATAACATTTGCTCATTCAACCATATGTTTATTTAATGATTATTTAACTTATGAGTTGTAAAAGTTCATCTTTCATGAGAGTGTGCAATCCCACAGTCTTATCAAAAGAAGGGCTTGTTTGGGAACATAGGCTGACATCTTGTACCCCCTGAAATGTCAACAAGGACTGCAGAATCTTCTGGCTTGTTGGAAGATAGAATGTAAAATCCACTTTAGAGAACGGAATTATGTCTGCAGATGACCGGTGGCACGTAGGTCAATATGTAGGTGAAAACTGACCATTTCTGGACATTACATATGGAACTGAACTTCAGTTCAAGCAAGGTTTCCAAGCCTTCATGCTAAATTAAGCGCTTGTTGGGGGATCAGACCAGATCTTTCAATGGAATACTTTTAGCTGCACGAACCATCCTTTTCAACAACCATTATTTGATGGTGGCACAGGAGTTAAGTGCTCGCCCCGTAATCGGAAGGTTGCAGGTTCGAGCACCACTCAGTCTGTTGTCGTGTCCGTGGGCAAGACACTTAACCCCCCTTGGAGGGACCGGTGGTGCCAGTGCTCGGCAGCCTCACCTCTGTCAGTGTGCCCCAGGGCAGCTGTGGCTACATTGTAGCTCATCCCCACTAGCATGTGAATGTGTGTGTGAATGGGTGAATGACTGACTGTGGTACTTGGTGCAACAAAAGAAAGATAAAAATAAGAGATAAACAAATATAGGAAGTAAGAATATAATCATGATAAAAATAATAATATGAAGTGGCATACTCAGAGAAACGTATATTGCTAGCCTGGCAAGCCAGACTAAGTAAATGTATTATTTAGTCTGGCAACGCTCCATTGACGGCTCTCGGTTGTGGGGCGAGTTCTACCGTTGTCTCTCAAATGATCTCCGCATGCTACTGGACAATGAATGTGACATACTCTTGTTTCACTCTGTTGCATCATCCCACCCACCAGGCATATAGAGTGCCCTGATTGTCCCACAAAGCGGATAAAGCTCTGTGATTTGTTCACTAAGCAGATAGAGCACTATGATTGGCCCACCATTATGGACCAATCACAGCTCTTTATGTGTTTGAAACCCCTCTAGAGAGCTGTGATTGGCTAGCCAGAGTCCTGGTAGGAGCTGCGGAGGTTCCAATGGAGCGTGCCTAGACCAAACTTTGCAAAGCAAGAATTTGGTCTGGTACACTAGGCTAGGCAAATGTAGGAATAATTTTTATTTATTGTTTATTTAACCAGGAGGATCCCAATGAGGGCTGCGCAGTGGCCAAGTGGTTAGAGCTGTTGCCTTGCAGCGAGAAGGTCCTGGGTCTGATTCCCGGCCTGGGATCTTTCTGCATGGAGTTTGCATGTTCTCCCTGTGCATGCATGGGTTCTCTCCGGGTACTCCGGCTTCCTCCCGCAGTCCAAAAACATGACTGTTAGGTTGACTGGTCCGTCTAAATTGTCCTTAGGTGTGAGTGTGTGTGCATGGTTGTTTGTCCTGTGTGTCTCTGTGTTGCCCTGCGATGCACTGGCTCTCTGTCCAGGGTGTACCCCGCCTACTTGCCCATTGACTGCTGGAGATAGGCACCAGACCCCCCCCCCCCCCCCCCCCCCCCCCCCCCGCGCGACAAAGCTGGTTCAGAAGATGGATGGATGGATGGATCCCATTGAGATTAAAATAAACCTCATTTTCATGGGAGTCCTGGCCAAGAGGCAGCAAAAGTTACAGTTACAAAATTTGCAGTTACACACTGAATGGGCTAAATATTAAAAAGAAAGCTATGCAAATAATTTGCACCAGAAATTTACACTTGGCATCCCATAGTTTTCACACTTTTGGAGTTCTTGTTTTGCTAAATCAGTTTAATTTAAAAATGAAGATTTGTCGCTCTCCAGTGTCAAGAAGCTGGAACTACTTTGTGGTTCTGGTACACCATGGAGTAGAGAACATTTTAGCCTCCTTATCTCAATAAAAATGGAAAGAAAATGTTTTGCCCTGTTGGGAATTATAATGTGAAGGATGAGGAGTAGAAGGACAAGAGGGAACTACATTTAAAGTTACTTAGTAGTCATAATCCTGTAAATTATTTAAAGAAAGAAACAACACCATGGTGTATTTTTTCGCTACGGGGAAAACTCACTCTAATCGTCTTTTTCTCTTTTTTCTAGCTTCTTTCGAGAACGGTTATCTGGGTGGCGCTGACTGTAAATTGACTTTTGTTGCGCCAATTGCGTATCAATAGTTTTACGACAGTAAATCGCTTTTGACCATGTTGCTAGGATACGCCTTCTACTCATCAAGGTTCTACCGTCTTTCCTGCTGGGAGGAATGTAACTGTATCGAAGTAAACGGTCATTATTGCACCATTCTCAAGTGTCTCCCTTTAAGAGGGACATGCTTGTAAGTTGAAACGCATTTCTATATTTAAATTCAGGCTTTATTGTTAGCTTAATGGTGCTCCAAGTGCTGTTTTACAGTCATGGCTAACGAATAAAAGCTAATAAACGCTAACAGTGCAATGGATGGTAGCTCGCTGTTATTATTAGCTCTAAATTATGTTTACGGGTTAATTTGAGGTTGTACGAGGCTAATATTTTAAAACATCTACTGCATCACAATTTACCCATACGTGTTTTGTGTGTAGGTGATGAAATGAGTGTGTTGTTTGCCAAAGAGCTAGCTAGCTTATCTTAGCTATATAGATTTTTTCCTGTCTGTCTGGGCTTGTACTGTACTATCCAAATTAAACTTTAGATAAGACACTGAACAGACATCTTTTGCTTCATGAATCACTCGACCTTTAGAAAGGTAGATACATTTTTATTATAGGCTCAAGGTCCAGCTTACATAAGAAAAGGACAATAAAAACATGAAAGTAATAGCAAAACAATGACGGTTCAGTTTAAAACATGGATCTAAAAATCTTCAAGAGTTAACAGCTTCAGCTCAAACTGATTACAAATTGTAATATTAATGTTTGACAAAAGTAAAATTAATAAATTTGTTGATGCATTTAATCTGCGGGCGCATTAATGCATATACTCAAGACAGCATAGTGAGAATGTTTAGTCATGTGAACAGTGAATGAAATCATCTCAGAAGCGTAAACGTGTTGTGTGAACATAATAACGTAAATTCAGCTTTAATAATTTTCATTCTATACAAAATCTGCTGCGTTTAGAAGCATTAATGTCAGTATATCGGCATCGGCAAATATCGGTTATCGGCCATGACGGTGATCTTAATATCGGATATCGGTATCGGCCAAAACATTTCATATCGGTGCATAACTACTTAAAGTTATGTTGGAGCTTTTATTTTATTTTATTTCATTTTTGCAGTTCAACCTGATTCACTTTGTATGACCTGTCAAAGAAAAAGTGATGGATTCTCAAGAAAGGTAAAGCATGCATTAAGCACACCAAAGTTTTTCATTATACCTGGTAATAAGTATTTCAGTTATAAAGTGAAGTGTCATAACTATCCTCTGTTACTCTTTTATTGCCTTCTTTCTGTTTTGTTGCAGTTTGTCTGATGAAGTCAAGTCAGATGATGGAGGGAATGAAAGGCGACAAACAGATGAAAAAGAGGAACTCTCTCATATAGCGCAAACATCTAACAAAACTAAAGACTGTGTACCAGTAGAGAGTATACCAGATGACCTAACTTCTCAGAATTCAGTGATCTGTGGTTCTGCCTGCAGAGTGGAGGAATCTGTTCTTGCAGACAACAGAAGTAACCCAGATCTGTCCCACAGCTCTAATGGACAAAAATCCAAAAGACCCAATTCACCTGGTTCTCCACCAGTTAAAACAACCTGTGTTGATACGCACTCCCCAACTCCAAAACTCACTCTTAATCTTAGTAGTAGTCCCAGAAAAGCTGCAGGCACACCCAGTGACGTGGAGATGATGAGTCCTGACAGTCCAGGTTGTAAAATCACAATTAACACCTCTGCACATACATTTGTTGATGGAAGCACTTGTGCAGAAGAAACAACGCAGACAATGGAGTTTCAGCTGGAATCCCAATATTCTAACTCTGGAACTTCCGCCAAAGAAAGAGTCCGTCCAACTCCCACAAGCAGCGGAGGTGTTGAGATTGTAGATTGCAGTGGCCCATCTAGGATGAGCCCAGACCCAACTGAAACCCAGTCAGATGCAAGTTTAAAAAGGTACCTTTAAACATTTGTACTTCTCTGTGTCACTCTTTAATCTCTCATGGCGAGTTGCTGTTTATTTAACGTCACTTACACACTCATCGCTGTGCTTCAGCAGGGATTTAGACAAAGCGTGGCTGGGGACGCCCATAAGTGAGTTCAACCGAATACCTCAGTGCGCTCCTCCTCTGTCGTACCTGAAAGCAGCACATAATCACACTGTCACAATCCGGGTGAGTCACCAGCACTTGTTTAATTTTATATCTTTCTCCTTGGTAGAGAATTTCATTGTTTTAATTAGAAGGGAGAGGTGAAATGACATGGTTCATTGGAAATTTATTTGGTGTTTTAATTAAAGACAAGACAGTGTAAAACATGTACTGTGTAGATGTGGACAGCATGAATAAGGAGACGGGAAATGGTACTAGGTGGAGCTGAACCGTCCTCTGTTATTCCCTCTGGGCCTCTTGTCAGTGGAGATTCTATCAGCCTGTCCTCCCCTGGTAGTCCCACAGGAACACCGTCGATGCTCAACAAGCTCACATCAGCAACCATTACCATCTCACTGCACTCATACCTTTAAATCACAACAATAATTATGGATGTTTAACTATTTTTTTTTAAATAAAAAATCGTATGAAAATATTTTTTACCACTTTTTAAGCCTGAATACTTGTTTTTTTTAATGGAAAATAAGCCTTAAAATGAGGCATTAAGTCCTTTCCACAGTTCAGTATCCTAAATTTGAGGGTTTGTTTGGTTAAAAAGCACAATTTTTTTAGACAGAAAAAGTAAATATGTTTTACTCCTTTAATGCAAAGAACTGTCTTGTTTTTTTAATTGCCTGTTACAGACAGATCTATTGAGAGAGGAAGATGTCCTTGTCTCTTACCCCACTAAGTTCAGAGATGCGTGGGATGACGGGATGGTGAAGATGCCCTGCTCTGAGAAGAATCTTTTTCCTGTGGAGACTGAGGTATGCTTGTTAAAGTCTTGTGTTTTTACTGAATCACAGCTTTTGTTTTTATCAGATTAAAAAAAAAACGTTTCTGGGGACAAACACTGGAATCAAACATTTTTCTTTATGTGCTGAAGGATGGAAGTGGTGTCCAGAGTCGGTGGGATCTAATCAAAACTGCTCTGACGAGAGGGTTCAAAAGTTGCCTGGATGTGAGGGTAAGACAGCTGCATCTGACAGTAAGACAGCTGCATGTCTGTCTGGCTAATCCTACCCTCCAGAACTCTTCAAATAAAGCATTTCAAACGCTGAATAACACAATTTCCTCTCCACCTATCCTGCAGAGCTGAATAAGTGTTCATAACAAAAGATGGGCAAAAAACTAAAACATTATCTTCATGAGCAGAATTTTACTGATAATCCCCTCAAAATCGTTCAAACATACAAAAAACTGTTCCATAAACAACCACATGGTGGCAGAGTAGACAACCGTTATGTTTTAGATTAAGAAAGAAACCATAACTAGTGCCTGAAATCTTTATTATGCTGAGCCTTCATTAACCTGTTATTAAACCACTTGCATTAAGTTTTTTTAAATTAATAACTTCCAGTTGTGACCCACAGGATGCAATTTTGAGGTACCACACGTCTCACGCAAAGAAATGGGACTTCACTGCCTTGAATCTTCTCTGCACTGAGGTAAGCGGATCGGAATACATGACGCACACACAAAGCATTTTTAAAATGAATCGTTGTTACAAGCTGTGGTTTAAGAAATAAAAAATGAAAAACACTTGAAAATCAAAGTAATAAAAAAAATTTACTCTGACGAAGACCGTAATGTTGAAACATTAGTTTTTTTTACTTGCACCTATTAAATATACCTAATTTGACCCGGGTGCTTCAGCTTCCTTTTACTTCTCTTCAGGTGGCAGTCCCAGCTGTTGAGCACTGGCACTCATTTGGATGATGTGCCTATTTGTCTCTTCTAACTAATAATGAATTAGAGTTGATGTTAAAGGGATATCTGCTTATCTTGTTCTGAATGAACAAAGGAATCCTTAGGCTTCTTACATTTCCATGAATGATTCAGTGGGACTTGATGCATCTCAATGCATCTGTGCCCTCCTCACCTCCCCTTCTGCGACTACGTTGCACTTTTAGGGCAAAGTATTTCAAACTGGCCCAAATGAGTTACTTTTGATTATTTATATGAATAAAAACAAATAATCTTTCAGTAGGAAAAAGCTGATTTCTGCAATGAAAGCACAGCTTTTGTACAAAATTACGCAATTTTTAAAAAAATAATGTGAAATAAAACACGAGGGGTTCACTTTTACAGTATTGGTATCTCATAGATTATAAAGTACCATAGAGAAAAATAGATTAATAGATTTAATAGAAATGTTTGTACTAGAGGTCGACCGATATAGATGTTTTGATTGCAGATACCGATGCCCATACGCAGGAGACCTGGTCAGCTGATGGCCGATTTGTACTGCAGGTTTTTATGGTTGATATCGAGATGTTTTCCATCTTATTTTCATGCTAAAATGTCACTAATAACATCAGTTGATGCAAACAATTTCTGAAGATGAATCAGTTTTTGAATTCTGAATTTAACTAAATGTTAAATCTTAACTTTGTGCACTTCTCAGTGTTAAAGTCAGAATGGTTTATGCTTGCTTTGCCATGCACTGAAAAATAAATGTTATGTATTTATTCAGTCAGTGAGGGACAGTAGAAAAATTAAATTCAACTTTATTTATAAAGCCCCTTCTTACCCCCAATCAAGGGGACGCAAAACCTTAATAAATCATTGCAATCTTTCATTCTTTCAAAATAAATATTTTTTAAAATTAGTAGAGTTTTACTTTTCATGTTTTTTTAAATCCAATTGTTCATTATAGTTTTCTTTCCAGCAGGGTAGTTTTATGCTTATTATTTTATTTCTGGCTAAGTTAGTTCCCCGTTTGGTAAAATAAATTGTCATTATATGGTTGTCATATCTGACAGCACACTATACTTGTGATAAAAGATAGTTGAGCTTAATGTCCATGTTTTCTCATCACAAGTTACTTTACTAAATTGAGATAATTTCTCAAGGCCTCCCCCCTTAAAATACTTTCTCCGAGTAAAGCAGAAAGCTTTGTAGATCGATGGTTTCGCCTTTTATAGCTGAAGTTAATTTAATTAAAACCACCCATTAAATCTGTAAAAACTCCAAGTAAAGCTGGCTTCCATGCTGCCGTTTTGTCAGTGACTGTTCACTCTCAGCACGGAACAGAGTGGATGCATTTTATAAAGCTGAATCTGCTCCTCAGGAGAAGGACAAGTTGAAGTGTGTAGGTCGCAATTGAATAATAAAACAAACAAACAAACAAAAACAATAAATGATGAACAAGAATGTACTTCTAAACCTGCAGAAAGATGGAGAGAAGGCAGTGCAGGCATTGTCTGGCCTACAGCTGGCACCAGCACACAACTACAACTGCCCCCCAGAACCCTCAGTGTCTAGGTGCAGAATAAAATTAGAAGTGGGCACAGCACTCGAGGTGAGGCAGAAAGATCCCCCCGCCAGGTGCCATTGAGTGTGCTTACCCCCAAGGCATTAATAGGCCTTATCCATCACCCAAACTGGCATGGAATGGGACGGATCTGGTCGCAAATTTTTTTTGTTCCGATTGTAAAACCGGTCCAGACAATTGACCTTGACCTCGCCAGTCACGGGACTTTTTGGGCTCCCTTCTGTTGTAGGTCCAGAAATTCCTGGAGCGGTACGGTTAGGGTGGAGCAGCAACACAGTCTACTGATTGGTTGACAGAAATACATCACTACTTGCAACAAGGAAAACAAACAGAGTTCCGTTGTTTGTATTTTCGTTAGCTGAACATAAATGTGAAAAAATTGCAGCAAGTAGCAGCAAGTGTTGGTCACCTTCAGAGTTCCATACATTTCTCACCTTCATCGTGAGAGTCCACAGGAGCTAGAGGAATCGGTAGTTTTTCTCTCAGTGGATGGCAGCTGACGGATCAGAGTCGGCTCAGTGTCGGGCCAAGATGAAGAAATTAAAGCCTGATATAGTTAATGGTTAAGGACAGAAACAGCCAGAATGGATTTTTTTTTGTTTTGGATGGGATAATACACGACGTTGCTACGACGCGCTGAATGCTATTTATAGACGAGGCAGCAGAGGCAGGCTTCTGGACTTAGCGACTGCACTCTGGAGTCACATGTGGAAGCATTTTGTTTTTGTCTTTAGCTCTGTAGACCAGTTATTGCTGCACAGAAATACTGAATAGTTTCACAACATTTAAAATTGTGGATATTGTTAACCCCGCCTGCCGACAGGATGGCCCAAACTGCGATCGAAATGCTCGTCTGAAAATTCCAGACCCATACTGGAACATATCGGTCCAAAAATAACCAGACCTGGCTGTTCCAGACCTGGCAATGGAAAAGAGCTGTAAATGTTCATTTGCGTGGAATGTCATTGGTGGAGGTGATTAATGTGCGAATAAAATTGGGGTGCAGGCCGCCTTGGGACTGCAGAAATGGCAACCTTACCCACACCCCCTGACTTACTCACTCCTAGGGCTGGGTAATATGACGTAAAATCAATGTCACGATATATTGAGGATTTCACCTCTATAACGATAAATGAACGATAACTACAGGTATGTGCAGAAACAAAGGTTGTCTACTAGATGGGGCTGTTACGTGTATTACGTTTGGTCAAAATTTTACTTGACTCAAGGTGGTACAGCTTCTTAGAGGGACACGAATGTTTCCAACCTACACACATCTTTTCATTTTTCTATTATCAAATTTATTGACATGGGAAAAATGATCTCGATAAGAGTCAGAAATTTCGATAACGATAAATTTTAGGTTTATTGCCCAGCCCTACTCACTCCCTAAGACCCTATGTACATGTTTGTGTGGTGATGTAAAGGAGCTGGAGGAGGAAAATGTCTGATGAGGAGGAACGACTGGGTCCTGAGCCCTCAAGGGGGCCAGTTCCTCCACTGGCCCCAATAGGCACCCTCGTTCCCAAAGTCCATCTGTGACATGGAGACCCCAGCTCATCCAGTCAGGGCCCAAAGCAGCAGCATTGCAGAACCCCACAGAGCCCCTGGGCCACCAACTCAGCCCCACCCCAGTGGAATATCTACTCCCATCCCTGCATTCGTTCAACGTCCAGACTACGTAAGACATAAGACACCTAGATAAAGTTAGGTCCTCCCCCCCTCAGACATCCCCTTCTCTCGTGATGGAATGGAATGGAAGTGTTCCTACCAGTTCAGGTGGAACCAGGGTCCAGCCAAGACCCCCGAGCCAGGGCCAGACACCGCTGTATGCCTCTGTCAATGCGCCCCAAGGCAGCTGTGACCACATCGTAGCTCATCCCCACCAGCGTGTGAATGTGTGTGTGTGTGTGTGTGTGTGTGAATGGGTGATTGACTGAGTGTATTGTGAAGTGCCTTGGGGGGTTGTAGAACCCTAAGAAGGCGCTACACAAATACAGGCAATTTATCATATATTGATAATCTTTTACGATTCTGTTGTTTCACATATGTTTTGGAAAGAGTTTAGCAATTTTGTTGTTAAATTTGTGTATCTTACTGCCTAATGTTTTTGAACGTGGTAACGTTAATTATATAAATTGTACGTCCAGCCACTGATCTAGTGTGACGTCATTAACAGGCTCAAGACCCCGAGCTGGCCAGGAAAACGTAGTATCTAATATGGCGTTCCCCAAAGATGCGCCCTATGTATTTTAGACACGATTTTAATGGTTATATGGTACAAAGCCACCAATACAACAACTGGATATTATTTTATTCATTTTCAACTATGCTTCAATATATATTTCCATGGATTAGAATAGAAGAATAGAATAGAATAGACTTAATTGATCCCACAGCAGCACCAACTCTTAAGGGAATAATTTGAAGAAAAAGAATAATAAACTGTCTTTTTAATAATTATACAATTATTATATTATTACTATTATTAATTTACATTCAACTAAAGCTCTTATTGCTCCAAATAAAAAAAATCAAAAGTTTAATTTATGTCATTGCTTCTTTCTTGGTGAGGAAGTTAAAAGGTTAAAACAAGTGAATGGGACCTTTAGTAACGTTTCAAGGGATCAGCTGTTTGTTTGCATTAATTTTAGTGTTTTTTACTGCACTTTCTTTTTATATGAGGCAGTTTATGAAACTTGGGTAATAGCCAAATTTGTCCTCATCTCACATATTGTCGAACCTTGGTTCCTTCTCCCTGTCAAAATGCAGAAGTGATTAAATAAACGAGATAAAATAAAGAGACAGCCAGAAAGTGTGCTATCCGAAACAAAAAAATATATAAATAAATGAAAAGAAATGCTGTGAAATGGGATACCTCAGTAAATTTCCACTCTTTCTTTTTGCCAAAGTTGTTGAAAATATTTTCCTTTAAACATATTTATTGTGAGTTTGACTTATAACCATTGTATATCCTAGCCAAGACCATCATATTAAATTTTGAGCGACATTTTTGTAGCCCAGAGGTAATTGTATGGAGGTACATTGCCCCTGGGCCAATGATTGGCACCCAGCTCAATGTGTAGTAACCATAGGGGAAAAAATTATCCAAATTATGGCTTGTCTGTAAATCGTCTTAGTGTTTCCCTCTCAGCCAAATTAAAATGTCACTTGTGTCACTTTCTGATGAATGTCTGCGGGCTGTACAAGATAACAGTTCTAGAATAAGTGTTAGTGATGCTCCTCTTATCTATCAACATTCAGCAGCAAGACAAAAACAAATACGATTGCTCTCATTCACTCGCTTTATCTACCACAGTGGTTTAGAAAAAATAGTAATAAAACTTCATTGAGACAACAAATGCACTAGAAAAAAAACGTACCTCTAAATTAAGCCTTGAAATCAAGAATTGTGGACCTGTGGCTGCCAATAAATACAATTTATCTAGAACCAAAAAGACAAATGTGTTATCAGCCATTAGTCTTTCAGTACATTTGGCCTGTGGCCAGCTTGTTGCTTTAGCAGTGAAAATGCTGTACTATCATCTTTCTGACCTTATCCTGCTGCATCACCAACTACCATCTATTAGTCCCACCGGAGCACTTTATGATGTCTGCCAGCTCATTACTTCTGACAGCATTTAGTCAGACCTGCTCTGTAGCCTTATAAATGCTCCAAGCCAAGTCAACCACAGAAGACTTCCTCTTGAAAATCCAACCAGCCTGCCACTCTCCCCACAATTGGTCATTTGCATTTACTCTAGAAGGTCCATTTAATCAGCGCATGCTCCTCTGCTTGCCTTGATAAAACGAGACAGGTGATTGATGACGGTGACATTCGAAGCCAATAAACTCATAAATGATTGTGTTGTAAATCAGGGTGTATGATGAAAAACCTGGGTGTTTATTTTAGAGGGAATTGCCCGTGGATGCTGAGGTAAGCTGCAGCTGAGGTATGGATGCCTCAGTCATCGCAGTCATTCTCAGATTGATGGTGGTTTCCACTAAATAAGGTTCTGCCCAGTCAGTGGCTCTGCTGCAAGAAAATGTTGAGATGGTTGACATCTCAGATGTAAAACATCACCTCATTACAACGACAAACCCTCCACACCTTCACAGAAACTGAGATTTTGCTGCTTGAAAGAGCATTCAGTAAATATTCCTGTTACTGGGTTATGACCCCAGACTTGCTGTCATAAGGCAACATTTATTAGAAGTGTCATCTAATAGCTGTCTTCTCATCCTGTATATGTGAATATATAGTTTGGCCACAAGTCATTGAAGCAACCCGTTCGTGGGGTGGAAGCTATGGTTATCTTTAAACTGTCTCTGCACACATTTAGACAGCGCTAGGACCAATCAGAGCTAAGAAAAATGGGAAGTATTCATCGCTATGGAAATCAGTAAATGGGACAACCTGCCATACACCATCAAAGAAGCAGAAGAAGAAGCTTAGGTGTTACGCTGGCCAAATAAACACAGAGCCTTGTGATTGGCAAGACACCGTGTGGGCCACAGGTAGACTTGCTCAGACTACAGTGGAGCGTGACTAGACCAAACTGCAGAGCTAAATCTTTTGCAACGGTTGGTCTAAATTTCTGGGCTGGTCTTCTCATGGCTTTTGCCACATTGGTATATTATACATATTTAGCAAACCTATTTATTGTAATTTATTGTAAATGTATTGTACAGGATTGGGCAAACTTTTATATCACACTTCGATTTTTGTCATTACACTATTACATAGCAAATAAATTAATATATTTGAATTGTTAAATAATCTATGTAATATTTAAATTAGTGCTGCAAACTAATTATCATCATTATAATCAATAATCCCACTGAAAACAAATGACTGTGTTTTGTTTCTCTCCAGTATCTTGAGCATTGCGAGGTGCAATACCTTTTTGACACCATACTACCTTCCATGGTTAAACTAGCTTTGAGTGCTCCCCACCTCTGCACGATGGTAAGTCTAGCCTTTTTAGTCGTTGAACACTTTTTGTGAAACCATATTTCATATTCACCCTAATAAACCTCAGAGGACCCTACGTTAATTCAAATTGAGCCGGTTCACGTTACAGGTCATTCTAAATGTCAACTCTGTTTGTCTTTGTTTTTATTTTATAGCAAAACAAGAATTACAAGATTGGTATTTTTCTAATTACATCATCTGTTTCAGAGTCTCCAGTTTAATTTAATTTAGGAAATGTAACTCCCACTCTTGGGAGAATAGGAAAAACTCTCTTGTAGCTTCCTGAGCAAGTAAAGTGTGCACCAGTGTAACAAACGTAAAGAGTTCCTGAGAGAGATTTCACCTTAAAAAGCAGTGCATTTTTGCTGTTAAGTGTTCTGGGCTTGCTCTGTGGTGTTAGCCGTGAAGCCCGATGTTTATGTTTGTGTTATTAGAGCTTGTATTGATTTGCCAACTGGGCAGCCTTGGGAGACTCTTTAGTCCTAATCAGTGAAGATAGATGGGCCTCGTGTATCTGCCTGAACAAACCTGATGGGGAGCAAGAAAACCGGAACCTTAATTACTACCACCCATTTACCTAATGGAACCCTCCTTATCTCCTGTTTGCTAGATCACTAAACTAATTTTCTACCCTCATTAGCCCTGCAACCTACACTTCTACACCCACACAACCATTTTCCCAACATCTTGGCTTGTTTATGTAAAACTCAGCATTTTATTTTTAGAACTGGTCTTTTACTTTTATTACGTTTGTGTTTCTCTTTCTAGCCAATCCCTTTACTCAAGTCAAGTATGAATCATTCCCTGACTATGTCTCAGGAGCAAATAGCCTGTCTTCTGGCCAATGCCTTCTTCTGCACATTCCCTCGGCGAAACTCCCGCAAGTTTGAGTACAGCAATTACCCCGAGATCAACTTCTACAGGTAAAGGTACACTAATCTAAAAAGGCATCAAACACTTCTTATCTCACATTAGGTGGATTAATTAAATTTATTAAGAAAAATCAAACTGTAAAACACACATTGACAATAGAAATTGTATATTTATGCATAATTGTTAGCAGTGTTGGGAACGTTACTTTGAAAAAGTAATTAGTTATAGTTACTGATTACTTTGTCAAATAAGTAACTCAGTTACTAACTGAGTTACAAGATCATAAAAGTAACTAATTACCAACTAAAGTAACTACTTAGTTACTTTTTTCATTAAAGAATGCAATAATTACTACAATAGTAAAATATAAATGACTAATGACTGAACATAATAAAATGTATGTCCAAATGTTTTTATAAACCTGAATAATTTAAACAAATAAGCACTTAACAGGAGGAACTACTAATAGGAGCATTACACTAATCTAGACTATTAATAGGTCACTGTGTGATATTTAACAAGACCCCAATCAGCTATCATTTAAAATTGCAAATAGAAACACCTGTAAAGGTTCCCGAGCCTTTAAATGGTATCTCGGTCTAGTTAAATTACAGAAATAAATGTAATTTTGCATTATTTTAATTTATCCAGCTTCACATAGTTGTCTTTTTTTTAGCAGCATTTCTGTTGCTGGTAATCTAGTAACGGTTAAATAAATAAATAAAATCCTTTAAAATGACACTAGAAGAGGCACAAGCCTGATGGAGGACTTACATTTACTAACGTGGGTCAGACCCAACCACAGAAGAGCTGAAGCTGGGCGGTAAACACACACAGGTAGTTCTGATAACACCTGAGCTCCATGACGTTTGAGTCTGATGCATCAGTGTTACAGCGGGACTAAAGACATGATCAGGAACAGGTTACAGCTGGATGATCTAGGAAGGTAGAAGATCAGGACGTCCCGCTGTCACGCTAAGGGCACGGCTGCAGACCCGCAGATTCGCTGCTGCAGCAACAAATCTGCGGGGGGTCTGCAGCCGTAGACTATTCATCACGTCTTCCTCGTTCTTCACGGGCCGTGATGCTCTTAAACATCTACCTCTTTAGCTCCTGATCAGCTGATGACCGCTTCAACACACCGCACTGCTTAACGCATGCATTTTCTTATCAGTAACAGAAACGACGTTTTGATAAAAGAAGACGTAATTAATTAGTTTGCTCGTTACAGAAAGAAATAATTTTATTAACGCGGTTATTTTAAACGGAGTTATTCCCGTCATTGCTTTGTTGTGTCTCCAGCAGCAGCGACAGAGACAGTGAGAACACTGAGGGTCTCCGCCCACCCGGCCAATCATCATGGTGTTTGTAAGTGCGTTAGGGTTAGGGTTACCGACACCTCTCTCTCCCTGGCTGCAGCTGAAGTGTGGCGGTCAGAAAGCCTCACACTGCTGATCAACGTTCGACAAGCACAGAGTAACGCACAACCTTCCGTCCCCAGTAACGGTAACGGCGTTGCAACGGCGGGAAAAGTAATTAATTAGATTATTCCGTTACCTATAAAAGAACGCCGTTAGAAACGCCGTTATACTTAAACGGCGTTACTCCCAACACTGATTGTTAGGGACGTCCCGTTATAACTTTTTCACTTCCGACACAATACCAATGTTGCAGCCTTCAGTATTGACCGGTGCCGATATCAATCTGATAGGATATCTGCACAAATCATACATACATTTATCTATTCCCTAGTGTGGAATGTATGAAATGCTTGCTCAGGTGATATTACTCAATTGGAGAACAAGAGCCAATAACAGTAAGTATGAAAAAAATGACAATTTTTTCTTAACCATTGGTTGCAAAAATGTGAATCTTATTCTGCTTATGTCGGATATTTTTGATGCCATCCGAAATAATCCGATACACTGTTTTTGGGCTGATATCGAATTACTTCCGATATCGATATCAGAATGGGACTTCCCTAGTAATTATACTGAAATGTACAAAATATTTTGGTTTAGGAGATGTCTGGAATGATCCTGCCATTCAAACTAAGCTGGTTTCCACCAGGGAGTATTACTGACTTTAAAAGCCTCAATAGATAAATCTGTGTTTATTTTTTGTTGATGGCCTGTAAGTTCGGTGTAGAATTTAGCGATGGTGTTGGATAATAAAAGTACCAAAAAGCTCCTTTTTCATTTTTATTTTATTTATAATTTTGGCATCTTTCAGTGAAGTTCTTTAGAAGAGGTTGACATCTTTCGCTGGTATGCCCCTTTGGTGGGATGGAGATCAGCATAGTGGAGTAAAAATTATTCTTTCTGTTTCTATTATGATTTTGAGGAATGCTAGGATGTCTAATTTGAAAAAAAAAAAACTTATTTATTTACCATTTTATTTTTGGTTTGCTTACTCATGCCTGTTGGTCTCTGACGTAAGGTCTCTAATGGTGGAGAGAGGTTGTTGAGATGTGTGTGTTACAGGTGAACATGTTCAGTGACTGTTGAAATGAAGGTAGAAGCATTTATTGATGTAGTACATTTCAATAAAATTCTTGACATGTGAATTTATTTGCACCACACAAAAGACATATAGTAAATGTTACTTTGCATTTAAATTCTCAATAAGAAAATTGATACACTGCTTTTAAATATCGATTCAGTATCATTACATGAGTTATTGTGAAATTTCAGTAAATTCATAGTTTTAGGAAAAAGCTGCCTAATGGGGATATATAACTTTGTGTTTACCTGGGTTTTCACATCCATAGTAGTATTTGTCACATCTAAATGTTGCCTCGCTGCACGAAGGTTGCAGGTTCGAAACTCGGCTGCGGCCTTGCGTGTTCTCCCCATGCATGCGTGGGTTTCCCTCGGGTACTCCGGTTTCCCCCCAGATCACAACATACCCTATAGTTTATAAATTGTAAGTCGCTTTGGATAAAAGCATCTGCTAAATGAATAAACATAAACATAAATGAAAATATTTAAAGTAACACAGAGCAGTTTTCTGCTCCTCCTCCCTACTGATTGAAAGTGGAAAAACAACTGTCGTAAACAACCCTGCTACAGCCTGCTGTGGCTAGTGCTAACAACAAGCTAACACTAACATGAGCCAACTAATACTAAAACACACAAAGTAAAAGGATCCATACTGTTGGGCAAAAAAATTATATTACTTACATGTCCAGTAGCAACAAAGCCACAAGTCTGTGATATTGTGCCTCCTTTAGCTCCCTCAAACTAGTGTAGGCCCAAAGAGCCAAAGCTATTTGCTTTGCCTCTGAAGACATTACTCTGGCTTTTACTTCGAGGCTGCACCATGATGCCAACAAAAAAGCAAACTCGTATCTTTTCTTTGTCTTGTGCTTTTAATTAACGATTAGCAAACTGAAAAAGCAAACTGCTAGCATAACAGCTAACAGCTGGATAAAGCAGGCAAAGACCTTCCCCTATAGAACACCTACCCTCTCCACAAAACTGTTAAGTGCAGTATGGGGCCAGTAAAGAGCTTCAGAGTGGTGTCAGAAATTAAACCAGCCAAGTTTTTAACCCAATCACTGAGGTCCATGTTAACGTTGTAGCTTACAGTTTACAAACTTTACTAACTATAGCGTTACTTTAAAGCTAATTTCAGTTTATATGAATATTTCTGTAAGGTATTTTTAGATGAACTGAAGGTAAAAGCAGATAATAAGAATGGCCAAAGATTGCTCAAGTTTTATACTGCTATTCTGAATACAAATAGTTTCAAAATCTAAATACCTTGTTCTCATAACTAAAGTTGGTTGATTTTGACCTAGCTAGTTTATGTAACAATGATTAATGAAAATGACAGGAGACATGCCATCAATAAGGGCAACATATTACTCAAACTGTAAAATCCTGATACTGTGTTAAATTCTTGAATACTTTAGTTAACGTCTTTCCCCAAACACTTGAATTAGGACTGAAATTGTAGAAGTCTGAAATATAGACTCAAATTCTAAGTGTATGGCTCAGAGATCAATAGCAAATGAAGGCAAGAGTGAGACATAGGGCCTTTAAGAGAGCTATGAGATATTGTTACCAGCTTCATTAATGGTGTTTTGGACAGTAAAGGCCTCATTATAACCAGCATTTTGTCCAGATTTCACCCCAAATCAATTTTCTCTTGTTTCATTATGCACCTTCTTCTTATTAGAGACAAAAGGGTTTCTGAATCATACTTTCCAGTAATTGCCTGATATACGGGAGTTGTTTTAGTAAAACTGTAGTGTACCAGCAGTGCTGCCTGTTAGAATATAAGTACATTCTCAAAGTGGCTGTTTTTAAATTATTTGTTAATTTGCAAGAGTCATAATAACTTCCTCAAGTTCACAATGGGAATTTGCATTCTAAAGAGTGATGTGTGTAATTTTATTGTATTGATATCATATTATGAAGTCCCCCTTTTGTATTTTTTGAATGTAAACCTCGTACTTTCACTCTGTAAGAGTGCCATAATAATGTAAACACTCATTCAGTTGCAAACTTGGCTTTTTCAGAGCCACTTGAGCCTGTTCTCAACATTTTTGCCTGCAGCGAAAAACAGAAAAGAGCAATGGTGAGGGTGGGTGGATGGAGGGGGAGCTGTGGTGTGTCTGAAAAGATGAAATAAGACAACCACTGCAGTCTAAAATTGGCCCAGGATCATTACTGGCCCTGTCTTTCTCTCTGTAATTGAGGGAGTGTCCGTCACTTTGCTTATTGGCTACAGTAGCTCTCTGTCTTGGACACGCAGGGCAGCAAGCAATCTGCTGATTGCTGTTTTGGCAGAACTGTCGAGGTTTGTCTTCAGTTAAGTGATGGATGGATTCAAGGAGCAGCGTAGAAGGCAGGATACTTCTGTAGCTTGTTTTTTCAGTTTGAGAAGAATGCGACACGGATCCTGTTTAACAGATTTGTCAGCAAGAAGCCCTTTTTGATAATCATTAGAAAAAGATCAGCTGCATTTGCAAAAACAATCCCACACAAAACACCGTATCCATGTGGTTGATAAGTGTTGGCAGATATGAATCAACCGTTATTCTTTAAATGGAAATTTATTTGTGTTTGAAAGCTTTAAATAAACTTTTAAAGTATAAAAATGGTTTATTTTATATGCAGGAATTGTTTTTCATAACTACATTTTTTTTATTTAGTTGGCTGATGGGCTTTTAGTGCACCAGATTTTTCATTTTATAGTTTCCCTTTGTTTTAATTCTTGACCGATTGGAGCAGAAAGCAGCAGGAGTCAGAACAGAAAGGTGGACTGTAATTAGTCATCAGCTTTGGTTTGTTTTTAATAGGAGGGTGCCTGCGTGGGCTGATTGAAGCGACCCATCCAACACTTTGCCCCTGATCTTCCACTCGTTATTTATTTAGTAACCTCAGTGAACTGAGACGGCGCCTCGGGCAGTGACATGGTCGAGTTGGAGGAGACATCCCGCTAGTTAAAAAGCTTGACTTCACTCATGTTGCTGTAGTCTGGTTGTTCAGTGACTTATGGATGATAACTGAGTGAAGCATGAATGGGTTTTATCATTAAACAGTTAGCTTCAGGTTTTTAAAATATAAACTTGTTTAATTTCGAGTTTCCATTTTCTTTTTTTCTCAGGTTGTTTGAAGGTGCCTCAACAAGAAAAATTGAGAAGTTGAAAACTCTACTTTGTTACTTCAGGAGAGTGACGCAAACAAGTAAGCTCTAAAAATGTCTTCTTTAAAAAAATCCTGTTAAAAGCTGTGCTATTGCACCTGTGACGTTTTTGTATATTATTTTGTAGAACCCGAAGGTCTTGTTACATTCACAAGACAAACACTAAACCAGCCTCCAAACTGGGAAAGGTAATCACCAGTTTAAGATTTAAATAGTTATTATTTTATGAAGTCGTTTTTTTGTCTGGATGCACCAATGGTTTATGTCTTAGTACATCTTCAATACTTCTTTTTTTTTTTCAGCTCTCAGATTCAGCTGACACGTCTACATATCACCTGTGAGGGGACTATTGAGAGTGAAGGATACGGCATGCTCCAGGTAAGATTTGATTTTTAAATTAGTTTTTTTGTTTGAAATTAGGGGTAGACAAATATTGGTCAGCCGATATATCGGGCTGGTATTTACTGTTTTTTTATACGTCCGTTTCGGCCAAAAATTGTCCTTTGTAACGCCAATTTAAAGTCAGGCATATCCTCAGACAGCCCAGTGCTGTTGCAGAATTTGATTTAAATATATTTTTACGTTCACGATTAACATCTGCATAATACATACGTACTCTAAATTAACTTTATTTTAATGTCTGACTTTAACACTGAGTGAACTTTAACACAAAGTTAAGATTTAACTGTTTGTTAAATTCAGAGTTCAAAATGTGATCCAGCTTCAGAAATTTTGTGCATAACTGATGTTATTAGTGACATTTTAATAAGGCTGGGCGATATGGCCTAAAATCATTATCACAATATATTGAGGATTTCACCTCGATAACGATAAATGGACGATAACTACAGGTATGCACAGAAACAAAAGTTGTCCACTAGATGTTTTACGTTGAGTCACATTTTTACGTGACTCAAGGTGGTACAGCTTCTTAAAGGGACATGAACAATGCCAACCTACACACATCTTTTCATTTTTTTAATTATCAAATTTATTGACATGGGAAAAATTTTCTCGATAAGAGTCACAAACTTCAATTACGATACATTTTCTATTTATCGCCCAGCCCTACATTTTAACATGAAAATATGGTGGAAATTGTCTGGATATCAATCATGAAAATCGGCCCAAAAAATCAGCAGTAGATATCAGCCATCGACTGACCATATCTCCTACATATCGGGATTGGTATCGGCAATAGAAAACCCCATATCAGTCGACTTCTATTAGAAATATTAACCAGAGAAATCAGGGAACACATAGAAATATGACTTGGGTAACGATGATTATTATCCAGTTCAACCTGGTCTTGTTTTCATCTTAACCCATTAAAAAAAATAAACCTGCCTTTGACCAGTTTGCAAAAGTGCAAATTATTTGAATCAAAATTGATTGTATAATTTAGTGCCTATGCATTTAAGTAAACACTTGATTCATCCTGTTGCATTAGCCCCTTTATTCTCTTGTATGACTGGTGCTTTTGGTGAAACTCGTGTTGACAGCATATGTACACACATGAGTAGCTCAGAGTGGCAAGGGTGGAGGAGAGGGCCCTTGGGTGCAAAATAAGAGAGGAAGGCACATGAAGGGAAAAAAACGATGAGGGCGAGGTCTTTCACCGGGATGACCCAGTGGGCCAGGAGTCCTACAAGTGGATTGACGGCTACCTTTGCAGGCCGGATGCTGGTTGTGTGTTGGGCTTCGATAGGGCAGAGTGGGCTGTCATCCTGTCACCTGGTGAGATTGAAGGGTGGGGAGGTGAGATTAGGGCTGAACCAGAGGGGGAAAAAATAAGTTGGGTGACTGGTTTGAAAACACACACTCTTACACATACAAACACACTTACTGTCACACAGATTGACGAAGCTGTGGGCCACCGGGCAGAATCTTCACCCCTGACGGGACGTATAAGTATCAGCATCGTGACTGAATAGACTGCTCTTTTATCTGTGCCATGAAAACAAGTACAGGGAATGAACGACTTAAAGTCACACCTAAATTTTTCCTGTGCTGCGACAGCAGATAAATACTTAAGCAGCTGAAATTCTACCTGGAATTTGTAGAATTTGTTTGGCTTTAGTTTTTTGGATTTTTATGACGGTAATTAGAAATAGTACAAAGATGTACAAACAGCAGCTTTCATACAAATGTCAGCATTCTGCTAATGCTAGACATTTTTGTATGATAATAGATTGTAGGCATCTAATTGGGTTAATGCTTTAAAGGTTCATGGGTCACTGATTCTCATTCTTTCAGGTTGATGCAATCCTTAAAGGTACACAGAGGAATAATTTTACAGTGAAATAATCACAAAACTATCTTATGTTGCAGTCATGTTTAAAGGAAACAGATTTCCTTTTCAGCCACTAGAGGGTTGTCTGTTATTCTCCCTTTAAAAAAATCTGAAAATGGACATAGTCTTTGTTTGCAACCTGTGACAAAATGCTGCAGCATCTGCCTTTGTAACTCAACACCGGCCTGCAAAAAGATCCACAGTGGTGGGCAGTATATTAACTGGTAAATGGAGCAGCCCAGAAGTTGTTTCCTGTAGGAGGATCTTTTGTGACGTCAATGTTTGTGTTTCTTGCATTGCATGATGGTAGTGTGTGGCAAGAAACAACATATTTTGCCTATAATTCGGTTGTTTTGCACGTTTGAAGAGGATTTAGCAAAGCAAATGGATCATTCTTGCTGTGTGGTTGGTTGTTCGGCCCGTGGGACGCATGATAAAAAGTTTTATTGGAATTTCCTCCGTAAAACGACTGTAAAATATGAAAGAGATGATAGGAAGCGACCCAGAAGAAAGCCAGGACTGCTGCAGCAACAGTTTGTGAGGCTCATTTAGTTCATGGTAAGTCCTTGTGGCTAAGTATTTGTTAATTGGAGAAGATGGGTTTTATAAACATTCATCATTGTGTATTTTTAAATCCACAGAGTCATGCTTTTTTCCCCATTCTGATTCAGGCATCTCAACCCGCGATCATTATAATAATAAATAAAGAAATAATTAAGGACACAGATGAACTACTTTGCAGTTGCAGTGAGGATTTATCTGTTTTCTTTGACTTTTAAAAAATGGGACCCAGTGCCTCCCTGCTTGACACTCAGCTTTAAGGGGTGGGATTGGGGGTTAAACCACCAAATAGTTTCAGAGTGTCTGCAGCTCTCGGCTCCCCATGGAGATGGGTCGAATGCGGAGGACAGTTTTCACCACACTCCAGTGTGTGTGACATCTATGGGACTTTAACTTTGCCTCTGGAAGCTAATCTGCCAGCTGCTAATCCTAACATCAACACTGAGCTACTTGCCGATTTTGATAGCCTTAATAATAAAAGTAGTGATTGCGATTTCATTACCTTTAGCATATGTGTGTCATGTGTTTACTGGAATGTTACAAACACTAATGTTTTGTTTTTTAACACTATGTAACAGCTGCATGATGATTGAATTAGCTACCATTTACACATAATCTGATTAGTTGACTAGTTTCCAAAATAACTGGTGTCTAGCAGTTATCATATTAATAATTTGTGGCAACTCTACAACAAACCTCATATGTAAAAAAAAAATACTGAGGATTAACAAAGGTCAAAGTTTATTTCTATAGTACATTTTTAACAGTTCACACAGCCTCAAAGTTCTGTACAATAAAACATAAGCAATAAAAACAGTAAAGGACTAAAATAAAAACAAGACGCACAAAAAAATAGTAAGAACAAATAAGCTAAAATCGATTTAAAAGAAAACTCAAATGCCCGAGTCAACTCACATTAAAAGCCAGAATAAAAAGATTTGTCTTCAGTAAAGATTTAAAATGCTCAAGACTGTGAGCGGTCCTTAAATGCAAGGGCAGGCTATTCCATAATTCCATTAAGGCCATGTCACCAAGACAAGATCTTGGAATGATGGACAGGGCCTGGAAACTAGAACCATGGTTCTGGTTGGAACATGGGGAGTCAGCAGCTCAGAGATGTAAGGATGTACCATTCATTAATTTAAATACACTCAGTGGGGTTTCTTTTTTCCTTGTGGACCAGCGCTGAGTATTGACTGCAGGGTCTGTCAATCATTTGGATTCTGCACAGCTGCTCTGTGCTTTGTTAATTGTGGACTTGTTTGTGTTTTGTCATGACAGGAACAATTGTTGTTATTCTTAGACATTTATCTTCATCTAATGCGTATTGTGGCTCATGCATGATGAGAAAATAACAGTTGTTTGTTCAAATATTGGGAGGGACTGTTAACAGCACCTCACAGTTGTGCTCATCTTAACTGAAATAATGCTCATCTTTACGCCAGAGTTTGTGGTCACACTCAACATGCCTGCATCATCTTTATTATTTTTTTTTCTTTAGGTGGACTTTGCAAACAGGTTTGTAGGTGGTGGGGTCACAGGACACGGACTGGTCCAGGAAGAAATCAGGTTCCTCATCAACCCTGAACTCATTGTTTCTCGCCTCTTCACTGAAGCTCTCGAACACAACGAATGCCTCATCATCACAGGTGTTTAGTCTTGTTTTTCCTTTCTCTCTCTCTCTCTCTCTCTCTCTCTCTCTCTCTCTCTCTCTCTCTCTCTCTCTCTCTCTCTCTCTCTCTCTCTCTCTCTCTCTCTGTTACAAACACACACACACACACACTCTCTCTCTCTCTCTCTGGTGATGACCACCAGGATACATGTTTAGTCTTGTTTTTCCTTTCTCTCTCTCTCTCCCTCTCTCTCTCTCTCTCTCTCTCTCTCTCTCTCTCTCTCTCTCTGGTGATGACCACCAGGATACATGTTTAGTCTTGTTTTTCCTTTCTCTCTCTCTCTCCCTCTCTCTCTCTCTCTCTCTCTCTCTCTCTCTCTCTCTCTCTCTCTCTCTCTCTCTGTGTCTGTTACAAACACACACACACACACACACACACACACACACACACACACACACACACACACACACGTACACAAACACACACACACACACACACACACACACACACACACTCTCTCTCTCTCTCTCTCTCTCTCTCGCTCTCTGTCTGTTACAAATACACACACACACTCTCTCTCTCTCTCTCTCTCTCTCTCTATCTCTATCTCTCTCTCTCTCTCTCTCTCTCTCTCTCTCTGTTACACACACACACACACACACACACACACATACAGTACACACTCTCTCTCTCTCTCTCTCTCTCTCTCTCTCTCTCTGTTACACACACACACACATACACACACTTGCATATATATACATTTATATTGTAATTTACATGAAATCAAAGCACCCTTGACTTTTGCTGTTTTATTTATGCGGTTTACTCAACAAATTTTTTTCTTCATAAATGTTTTTGTGCTTTCTAATTTTTACCTTAGACTATATTGTGTTTCTCAGTTATTTTCTGTGATGACCACCAGGATACATGTAGGTTTTTGCCCCCCAGCTGGAAAATGTGTGGGGGCGTGTTCTTCATCGGGTAATGGACTAGATTCACATAATTTGTTTTAGATCATATTTATTCTTTAATTTTTCCCAAGCAGAACTGCCCACATAAAATTTATTTTGTAGATATTTATTAGGCGAGGCCAACATTTAAACACATATACCCTGTTGCTTGCATCTCCCAGTGAAAAAAATAAACTTTGGACTGACACAAGAAGCATCGTTATCCTGTTTGATGTTCTCTGGTCTTTGAAATGAAAACATGTATTATAACTTAGCTGTGTGTCAATTCAGAACTCAAGAAATGATTTTATGGATTCTCTTGGTGGAGAGTTCTTTGAACGTGCTTTCTTCTGAAAGAATGCCTGATACATGAAAGTGATTAGACCAGGATCTTGGACCTCTTTCACTGATTTGCGCCGCTGTAGTTGGTGTGTCAACAATAAAAATGAGTAAACTAGAGCTTTACGATCCTCTCATCTGTGTTGGTGATTCCCATTAAGAAACACACCATGTAAAAATCAACTCTTTACTCATTGACGTCCGTTTCACATGACGCCAAGTTGTCTCACGTATCTCCAAAGTGACCTTCATTGGTAAGTCACTGTCCCTCTTCTTCCCTTCCATTATTCGCCTCCCTTCTTTGTCCCCCCTCCTCTTCCTGTCCACTTAACATTATTACATTTGGACAGAAAGGAATTTATTGCCCAACTCAGGTCATCGCTCCACTAATGGAATGAGCCCATTGCGCCATAGATTCATTAAAACCTTAAGAATATTCTCTGCACGTAAGCAGTGTTTCCTCTTAAACGCTTGTCTCTCTTTATGTTGGTCTCTGTTGCTTCTTAACGTGAGTCGTCAAGTGCATTTAAAACTTAAGCTTGACGTTACTTGAAAGATAAAATGTAAATGTGCGTGTCCAGGGGGAGGTTTTAGATCGGAAGGTAGAGATTTCTGATGTAATCGAGTGATGGAAGCTGGTATGGCAGGATGCTGTCATGGATATTTGCCAGATGAAATTGGTTTAAGGTGAGGGAGGAGGTCAGTTCCATTGATGGATGGAGTGATATAGATAGCCTGTTCCTAATAGTTAGAGGTCGCTTGTGTTTTAGAAAGCCCCCTAACTGGATGAGTTTGCAGTGTTGCAGTGACTTGTACCGTAAATGTGTGTTGTTTTTTTTTTTTTTTTACTTAATCGTAATTGGGTCTATTTGCAGAAAAAAAGATTTTGAGTACTAGTTTTCGTGCTGGAAAATAACAACATTAAAAACTCTTCAGGGTTTACTTTTCCCAGAGAAGTACCTGATATGTTTTATAGTATTTCACGTCACATAGAGTAAGTAGTACATCATGCCATACATCTGACTCCAGTTAAAAGTTTAGACACACCCATTCATGCATTTTTATTTGGGAGGGGTGTCAGATGTGCACAATGAGCACATTTTAATTTCAAATGCTGTAAACATGCAATTAAGTTATTCCTTGAACAAAAATCCATTGGATTCTTGAAATCATAGTTGCTTAGTTTTTTTTTCTTTCAATACTTTAGTTGCTGGTGTGAACTCCATTTGGCCCTCTTTAAAATATCAGCAGCTCCGAGCAGAGAAAGAACTGTCATAATTCTCCAACTTTACCAGTTGGACAAATAGGTGGGAGAATAAATTTTTAGTACAATCAATACAAACACACTAAGAATAACTCATATAATTCTCCTGAAAGCAGTGGGTGCTGTTGGCGGTTTTTCAAATTCTTAGTAGAGTGTTTATTTATTGTTCTGGATCAATTTTGTCACTGCAGACTGAGAGACAGAGAAAAAGGTGCATTTGAATGTTTCCTTTATAGACCTTATCCTGTTGGAAATCTGCAATGTTTATCATCTTTGATATACATTAACATAATTCAGGCTCTATATAACGAGAACAACATAAATGCATATTTCTAATTTGTCCAACTTACCTGAAGTCCTTGTTGAACTCTGTGAGGATAAGACACATTTAGATGTGAAAGTGGAAACTACTAGAAATGTCATTACTAGTGAAAGTTCAAATATTAGCTGTATTTTTATTCGTTCTTTAAAAAAATACTTGAAATGTAATGTTCTGGTTGTCAAATCTTTCTATTCATTTTCAACTGAAATATAATTTTCTCCTCTCTACTAGCAATACTTTGAGCAAAATGTATTGAAAGAAAATTACTCATAACATAACTTTACACCAGATGTATGAGCAGCATGTTATGGTATTGGCTCAGTATACACACACACACAAAAAAACATGGCACCTCTCAGATGCCTCCAGAACAGTGTTAATGTGCGGCTGAAGACAGGCTTGGGTTCTAGTTTTGAAGCACCGTGCTCTCAGAATGCATCGAGCTCTGCAGTCAACATTGAGATAAACAGATTCTTACATAAACTGTTAGTGCAAAGCATCCAGTAGATTTGAAAATAAAGACAAATGCAGAGTACTCCTGGAGTGTGGGGTACCAGGCCCCTTGATACGGGCTGTTGGGTCCCAGTATGACTGGTCTGCATTGCCGACAGTCGTACTTTTTCCGGGTGAGAGTTTGTTTGTAACTGGTGCTGTTCATCTAATGCTCCTCTGCAATGAGAGCAGCCAGTTGAGGTGGCTCAGGCATCTGGTTAGGATGCGTACAAAATGCAACGACAACCTGGAAGTGTCCCTGGTGAGGTTTTCCGAGCCTATCCATTTGGGAGGAGACCCAAAGGAAGACCCAGGACAAGCTGGAGGTACTATGTTTCTCGGCTGGCCTGTGAACGCCTTGGGATCCCCTCGGAAGTCTGGATCTCTGCTTAGGCTGCTGCCACTGCGACCCGACCCCAAATAAGAGGATGAAAATGGATGGATAGATTGGATGGACAAATGCAGAGTTGCGATAGCTTGAACGTTACGTCTTTACGGTAACCGAAGAGCTCATTTGCTTGCTGCATCTTTCAAGGAGAGCATTGGTTTGTTATTCAACATGGATGATGAAGCTTTTATCCTGGCAGTGGAGAGTCACAACATTATATGCATGAAGTTTTGAGTTTCCAGAACAAAATTACATCACAAGAGACAAAATTTTGCATTTGTAACACTGAGCTGATAACAATAGATTTAAAAAAAATTTTAAAAAATCAATTCTTGCCAATAAAATAATTTACGGTTTATCACATTTGATAAATGTTTTACAGGCGTAACTATGGTTGAATTATTCTGCACTACTCTGCACTTTTGTGCACTATTCACATCTATTCTTATTGTCGCTAGAAGCTTTTAATTTCAAAGCCTAAAGCAGATTACTTATTAAATCAATGGGGTTTATCCAATAGAAGCCGATACTGTATACTCACATGGGGAGCATAGAAAGCACTAAATCTGATTTAGGAAATAAGGCGCTGAAACAGATTTAGACCCGCTGTGTGCTCCGACTGCTGGGCGCTGAATAACATAATGCCACCCCCGGCTTTGTCTTTCCTGTCCCCTCAGGATCTGAACAGTACAGCAAATATTCTGGTTATGCTGAGAGTTACAAATGGGTGGAGAGCTACAAAGATGAGACACCCAGGTATTTTTCTGTTCCCATGACGAATTAAAACATTTGACTTACTCTCTTGTAAAAGGAAAAAGTGTTAGAGTTGAAATCAGATGCTCTGTTTTTGTTTTATTTTCAGGGACGACTGGCAGAGGAGGTGTACAGAGATTGTGGCCATTGATGCTCTTAGATACAGACACTTTCTAGAGCAGTTTCTTCCTGAAAAGATAACCAGAGAGCTAAATAAGGTGAGAAAAATCCACCAGTTGTGACTCATATAGGACTCAGAAGTGGAAGAAAAATTGGCCAAAACTTTACAACTATGCATTATTTTTTCCAGGCGTATTGTGGATTCTATAGAAACAACGCTAACGTCAAGCACCTCTCTGCGGTAGCTACAGGCAACTGGGGCTGTGGAGCTTTTGGTGGCGACACAAGACTCAAAGGTACCTTTGGTAGACAAAGTGCAAAGAAAACAATAATTTTACATAAAAAACTGGAGTGTAAACCTGTACATCAGAATACTTTGGATTCTTAATTAGCAGAAAATGTTTGTAACTCAGACATGATCATCCACTCATTTGTTATGCTTGTCCAGTCATCGGCGCTCCTGCTGAAGAGACGCACAGATGCTGGTATGTCTCAAATCCTGTTTAGTCATTTAGGAGCTATCCCAATGAGCCAGTCTCCCATACCTCGTCCAGTGATTGATTATTGAAAAGGGACGCCATAAATTTCAGCTGATACATTACTCTGTGGGCTTACACAACATTACTTTTCATAAACAGAGGGTGTATGCTGTCTGCTTGAATGCATAGGGGACATTATTGCCATTGACATGATGGGACTGTGTTGTACTGGAACACAAATCTAAGCAACATATCGCATATTTCCAACAAATCTAACATAAAATTAGAGTTACTTTGCATTATTGCTGCACGCTTTAGACAATGCGTGATAACAGCAATTAATATTGTGATGATGATATGACTTGCAATAATCAAACAAATAATTAACATTAGTACAAAAAAATCAAAAACAAAGAAATTAAAATTAAAAATTACAAAAAAATATAAAGAAATAGGAAAAGCAAAAATTGTAATGAAAAGATGTGAAGAAAGGGGAAGAAAAAAAACGAACAAGAAAAAGCAATCAGTTGATCCTGGAAAAACAGAATCAGCAGAAAGATCAGAACAAAGCTAACTCAGGTGTTTGCTAACCATCCAAAGAAGTGTGGTCCACCTAGGGGGTGTGTATCTAACATACCTGATTGGAAGAATTCAGTCAGGTGAAGAATTGTGTTTGATTTGTCAAAAATGTCACGCTTCCGTTTGATTGACAAAATGCTTTATGTGTAGCAAACATTTGAGCTGACCATTCATTGCAGTGATTTTTGTTCTTTGCGAAAATCATGTAGCGCCTGCCAGTGTCACGATGGCGATACATTTGCGATGTACTGTTCAGCCCTACTGTGCATACATTTTTTGGTAAACAGAAAATATAAAGTACCCTGTAATCCCTGGAACAACTTGAGCTGGTATTTTAACTGTAACTGTATTTTACATACAATTCCTCAAGCTGACCTGAGATATGTGAGCTACGTAACACAGAGTTGTTGTGGATATTAAAAACATTTTGCAAATGAGTTGTATATCTTGTATGCTTATCGGGCAAAAATCTCTAATGACTATTTTAAATATTTAAAAGCTCTGAGAGCTCATTTTCCATAGACTCAAAGATTGAGTGCTGTTAATGAGGCTGTTCTAGCAGCGGGATATTATTTACTCTTCTGAAACAAATAGCTTTTACTGCTCATTTAATTTCTACTTGAAACAATACCTTATCTTGTTGATTGACCAATTACTTAGTTTGACATGAGTTTCACTGGTCAATGATGTCTTTATAGTCAAATTCTGAAGCTAATGATGCTAATGCATGTGAATAATGTTGGATATATTTCCCTTTAGCCTGCCACTTCTTTTCTTTTCAGCTCTGATTCAGATGATGGCGGCCGCAGAGGCTGGGAGAGATGTAGCATACTTTACATTTGGAGATGCTCAGCTCATGAGAGATGTCCATGAGATGCACACTTTTCTCACTGAGAGACAAGTCACTGTTGGTAAGACACACAACAAAAATATTTACAATTGGGGATCTTCTAATCATATTGTTTTGACTCCAATCCGAGTCTAGACCATTTGATTTTTTTGATACCGAATCCCTATCCGATACTTCAACAATGTATTGAAATAAGGAGAATACGTCCAAGTTGTCATTTAAGTTTCTTATGTTGTTATATATTATTTTTTTATGAATTTCATTTCCTCAGTTTATCTGCCAGAAATGTTTTTTTGTTGTTGCTCTAAATAGACTTTCTCGCCCAGATTTAGTGAAAAATCTAATTATCCTGTAGACACCTAGAAGTTCATTGCATCTTTTTTACAGGTTTCAGGAAGGTTTTCATCTTTGAATTCACTTAATTCCTGAAATGTTGAGTTCTTCCAGTGTCACAAAAAGCAAGGCAACTCTACCACATCAAACAGCACCATGTTTCCCTGTTATTACTGTATGGAGCTTTTTCTTGGTGTAAATAATCAGATCCATGTCAGCTTTGGTTTCTTTTGTCCAAACCACAGATCCCAGATGATCGCAGCTTTTCACTCCCCTGCTGACCAACATTGTGCCAAAGACAATACGCAAATGCTCTAAAAATAATCGTATCAGCCATGTTAGAAATGGGAATCCTTCAGGGCTTTTACACCGCACACAGGTCATGCGTGTGGACATGAATACAGAGACAGTGTCTATAGAAATAACAGAATGCAAGTGATTCCACCTCATGAACCATAGCTTCCTTCCCTGCCATAGCTGTAGAGTAGATTACTGCCTGAACTGACCCCAGCCTTGCCTCTCCCCTCCCCCTCTCTTCATTTTTCTTTTCCTGACATTTATTGAAGCCTTTCAGAGAAATGCCCCTCTAGCCATCCATTTCCTAAAGTGGAGCTACAAAGGGGAGAAAAAAGCTATGGCATGTGCGTGTATGTGATTTATAAATGATCCCAAACTCACTTACATCCCCCCCCCCCCCCCGGTATAGTTTTAGTCTTTACTTCTTTGTTTGTCAGCCTGTTCGTGTGTTTAGTTTCTTTTGCCCAAATTTTATGTTTTCCACTGTAGCACGATGGATTGGCCACAATTTTGTTAAATGATCAATAAGCTGTGATATTCCTTATAAATATGAATTATCAATCTGATTGGCCTTTGAATATTTCATTTAATATTACCTTAGGTTCTTTGGACTATTCAGGGAACACACACCTCATATTAGAGTTAAGGACATAGTTTATAAAAAATCAATTCACTCTGTCTTTCTAAACTAATGATTATACATGACAAATTATGAATAATAGTTGTACAAGATAACAGACAATGAATGAAATGTATATGTTTATGTAGCAAAACCTTATTAAGTATCTGAGAGATCTTGTGATGTCTGGGTTGTAAAATCTGTTTCACTGTATGGTTTATCAAGCTATCAATTAGTCATAAAACCATCCGACACCAGTGTGCCAATCTATAAACTCTTTGTGTCGAAGGCCCTCGTGGGATCCAGGGAGTCAAGAGGTTGGTATGGAAAATCTGCCGGTAGCGTGGACCTCTGGGTAATGGAACCCGTAGTTCAGTTCTGAGTATGACCCGTCTGCTCTGAGATACCCTCCAGGTGACAGCAGGAAGCTGTCGTATCTATTTTGCATCTGATACCACTCACAAGTGTGGCAAAGAGGCTTGAGTTTGAGTCAAAAGAGAGAGTGGTTCCAAATGCTTGCTCACCCGGTCGGCCGAACCGGGAGGCGGCTGAGAACTGGCTAGATCAGGATGTGACCTAGCCTTTATTAACAATTGTTGACAAATTTAGACAAATCAGAATGTGATAAGTTTAAAGGCGTTACCAAAATACCTCAGGAAATAACTCCTTCACTCAGATACTAAGAGATTTTTCTTAGTTTGAAGTTAAAATGTTAGATTATGTGAAGCACAAATGTTTAACCATTAATGATAATATGATGATATTACTGTGTTCACACCGATAGATTAAATGATTCAAATCAACAAATACTAATCTGGTGTAATTTCAGATCTGGAATGAGTCATTACAGGAAACATATTCATTTTAACCATTAATATAAAGTAGGACACATTATTAAAACATTTTGGGTTTAAACAAATTGTCATTTCAACAAAATATGATTATATGAAGTTTTAAAGTCATTATATGAGCCAGGGACGATGGACTTTATTCAAAGCAGATAGATGAGAGGTCCTGCGTCTCTTGCAGCCTTGATGATGTTCTGACATACCACGGAATAAATTAAGAATATCTGCTTAATTTCATAGACTTCATATTGGCACCACAGTGTCAGATTGACCTGTATGAAGAAGTTTGGCCTGCAATTTAAAAGTTAACTTCTGGTCATTTTGGTGAAATACTTGGCCATTTGGTACGCTACACTGCACAATCCATACATTTTCCTTCTCTTGACCCCTGCATCTCATCCTCATCCTGTCTGTCCTGCTCATCACTGTTCTCTTTTCCTATTCCAGGCCAGCTGTACGTCCTTTTTGACCACTACTTCAATGAAATGTGCAAAAACTGCCACACAAGTCGACCTGTCGTCAGCCTCTATGAATTCATCTACAGTAAAGTCTCCTGTCCTGCAATGTTCAGCCCCGCTCAGAATTCTGGGATGTCGCCTTTGTCATCAGATGCTCACTAACAGAAGGACTGCTGTGAACTTTGTTCCACTTTGTGTTTCTGTAAGACAGATTCCAGGTTCTCAAACTGTACCATGCTCTCTCTCTCTCTCTCTCTCTCTCTCTCTCTCTCTCTCTCTCTCTCTCACACACACGCACGCACACACACACACACACACGCACGCACACACGCACGCACGCACGCACGCCCTTTAAGTTTGTGGTTCCAACTCACAAACTACCAAAGCAGGACTTTGCCTTTAAAGCTGACAGTTTTACAGGAGCCTCATAGCTTGACACAACAACTGATCCTATAGCAATAGTAAACTCTTGTTGCTGTTAGCGGCCTCTATTTAATGTAAATCTGATCTTGAATAAAAAAAATAAAAAGATAAACTTAAAATGGCCAAATATTTATTGTATGCATGACTGCGGTGATGTTTCACCATTGATGGATTGATGAAGACACGATATTCCTTCCAGGTTATCTTGTCCTACTTGGTCATTGCTCCTGCTTTTGGATGATTTGTTGTTTGTGGTGACCGTACTCAGGCTGTGGTGTCAGTGTAGAGAGATGATGCCATACTGTAGTCTATGCATGGATAACATTAATTTATCAAGTAATCTCCAAATATTGCTATTTCTTTTGTATCCTCTGTGATGTTTTAAGTTCAACATATATGATTTTTCTGGTTTGTTTAAACGAGGAAAATCACGTTCCACGGCTATTAAATCCATCTCAGATGGAACATTTACGGTCAGTTCAGGTTGACCTTAATTTATATTCAGAGAAAATGTAAAGTTATCAAATATAATTAGTGGTAACCACATTATTATTACTGTATAGATGGGGAAACAAAAAGAAATGCACAGGAATCATTATTTTTGTTAGGATTTTTTCCTTATGTGGGTTTGTTCTTCATTTACAGTATTTTCTTACCAACAATTATGATTTATTGAGTGATTGGTTTTAAACTAAGGCTGTAAATGTGCTGCATAACTGTACTTTAGGTTTTTAGGTTGTGCTATTTTTATTGTAATTTCTCAAAGCATAACCTGAAAAACTGATTTTTTGTTGAAATCAATCTAAAACTAAACGATGGAGATAAAACAATCTGTGGATCTCATGTTTTTATTTAAATCTTTTTGAGGTGTCACTCATTGGTTCATTTCAGTAGATGTGGTTGTATGGATCTCACATCAGCGGACATAAATCAAGGAAAAAGATCTCAAGGTTTTTGTAAGTGAAATTAATTTCTTGGACATGTTCGTATCATACTGTTGATTATCGATCAATCTATCTAGCAATCGATCTATCGATTTATCTATCAATAATCTATATCTATTAGTGTGTATATATACATATATATATATAAGAATATATATATATGTATATATGTGTATATAGGAATATGTATATGTATATACATATGTATATGTATTGAAAACTTATTTATTTTTGATGTGATTGATTTTTGTAATAGTACACATATCTAAGAGCTCTCAGATAAATTTCATTCAACCTTCAGACGTGCTTTATTAGATTAATTAAGGTTCCTGAATAACCTCATGACGTGGACTTCCATAAATGGTGTCTATGGCTTTGCTGAGGTAATCAGATTACACATTATCTGCCTCTCCGACTCTTTGTACTGGGTCCTGCGTTGACCAAATGAGCTGTGGTCTCATAAGTCAATTTAGTTTGGCAGACCTCACAGTTGAAGTCTGCTTTGAACCTTGTTTACTTGGACCTGAACTTCAGACGAGCCAGCCAGATTAAAGATTTGGACACCGAGCATCGACTAAATATGAAGGGAAATGAATGCTCTACAAAACAATTTTTATATTAAAACTTAAAAAATCAGCTTTTATATGACTTACTTGAAATGAGTGTTGCCTTGTCAACGTCATTAATGTCACATTATAGACCGTTTCAAAAGCTGGTTAAGTTTGGTCCTATGTAGTGATCATTCTAAAAAGGATATCAAACATCACTGTGTAATATTACCCAGCGTCACCTTTGTTTTTGTCGTTGAACATTATTAATAAAATGCCAGAAAGCAGCTGGTTTTTACTCCATCTCTGTCAGGTTGCAAAGTCGCTACAACAAAGTGGCATTTCAGCTCATAATTGCGTTCTCCAGGTCAGGTTGTAGAGCAGGCACAAATGAAGGACTTACAGGAACATTGAACCTCATTTTTGCTTGTCGGACAAAGGGGAGAAAAATGCAAATGATGTGGTTTTGTCTTCTAAGTATTTTTCTGAAGTTTAAAGGTGACCCTGCATTCAAGCTTGATGTTCTAATTAGTGATGCTGATATTTAGATCGTCACTGTTCTGCCTGTGACTTGTTGCCTTCACTGTTTGGTCTCTCCTGCATTTGTCAGGATTGATGCTTTTGTTCTGAATGCTTCAGCAAGTATGAATGATGAAAGTCTAAAATAAGGGGGGGGGGGGGGGGGGTTGGAGCGATGAGAGAAGAGCTGCTGGAGTGGAGGAGGGAGGGCCAGTTATCTTATTGTTTAACCTGCTCAAGGTAGAGGCCCATCAATCTGAAAACACTTGCTAACATGACTCATGTTCAGCCTCTATAAAAGTTTAATTGGCTTATGTAATTAATACTGAAGGGAAAGACAGGATGTATCTTGAAATAAAGGAATGGCTTGTCCTCGTAGAGAGTGGCTCAGCAGCAGCAACTATGTTATTTATCTTTTTATGACCTTGAAGATGGGGAAAGATGGCACCTCCAACTGGGGTTACATTTGGATTTCAGCCATAGATCGAAACATGTGTTCACTCTACCGTAAATGCAAATGACAGTAAAATAAAGTCATCTTTCACTGTAACAATGTTGTCTTAGAGGACATCAAATGGTTTTATGCTGATGTTGATGGATTAAACACCAAAAGTGGTTCAGAATGAATGCATGTTTTGTCACTTTTTCCTGTGCAGTAATTGCTCTTCAGTCAGTGGTGCCCCCAGAAATTTTTCACGAAGGGCCAGTAAAAAGTTTGGGGTGGAACACCAAATTGGTACCTTAGGAAAGTTTGCCTGCAGTAGTGCATTACCCCTTTTAAAAATGATAAATAACAGGCCAATGCATCCAAAACATTTACCTCTTTACAGAAAGACAAAAGCTCAATTTGTAAAAAAAATTATATATATATATATATATATATATATATATATATATATATAATTTTAACATGTTGGCTTAGTGGTAGAGTGTGTGCTCTGGAAGATCGAGGGTCAAATCTTTTGGTTCATTTGCTCGTTTTCCTCCACTTTTTCAGGTCCGGGTCATAGGGGTAGCATCTCAAGTTGGGTATCCCAGACAGCCCTCTCCCCGGCCACTTGCCAGCTCCTCCGGTTGGACCCCAAAGCGTTCCTGGGCCAGATTGGAGATGTACTTGCTCCAATGTGTCCTAGGTTAACCTGGGGGCCTTCTGCCAGCAGGATATGCCCAAAACACCACACCAGGAAGGTGTCCAGGCGGCATCCTGACAACCTGCCCAAACCACCTCAGCTGGGTCCTCTCAATGGGGAGGGGCAGCGGCTCTACTCCGAGTCTCTTCCGAATGTCCGAGCTCTTCACCCTATCTCTACGGCTGAGCCCGGCCACCCTCTGGAGGAAACTCATTTTGGGCGCTTGTATCCCTGATCTTTTTATTTCGGTCACTACCCAAAGCTCATGATCATAGGTTAGGTTTGGGACGTAGATCGACCGGTAAATCGAAAGCCTTGTCTTCTGGCTCAGTTCCTTCTTCACCAAAACAGACCGGTTCATCGTCCGTATCACTGCAGATGTTGCTCCAATCTGCCTGTCGATTTAAGGCAGGACATCACTCCAGACCCGAAGTTGGCAAGCCACCCTTTTCCATGGTCTCAGATTTGGAGGTGTTGACCCTCATCCCAGCGTCTTCACACTTGGCCGCGAACGCACCCAGCAAGACCTGGAGGTCAGAGCTTGATGACGCTAGGAGGATCACATCATCCGAAAATAGCAGAGACGAGATTCTCCTGCCATCAAACTCGACACCCCCCATGGCACCAGTTTTGTTCAAATCCGATCGCGTAATACCAAAGATTTAAAAAATGAAATCCAATGCTTCCCTGCTTGACACTTCGCTTTAAGGATTGGGGAGTTAAACCAACAAGTAGTTCCTAAGCACAGCCAGTGCTGCAGCTCACTATTCCCTATGGGGATGGGTATGGAGGTATGGACAACAATTTTCCAGGAGTTGCAATACCCCCCAATTCCCCTCCCACCCCCCCACCCCACCCCGCCAAGCGGTGGCACCACAGTTTGTTTTTTTCACTGCGGGTTTAAGTGCATCTTTGCTCTTCTGAAGGTCGGGTGATTTTGAAGTGTGGTGTGCTTCCTGCTTTTCCATTACTAAGCCCAATCTACCATCTGTGATCCATATGTAGAGATGTAGCTTGTTAGTTTCAAACAGATAAAGAATATTTATTAATCAAGTGCTGGCACTGTTGATGGAATACACGTCTGTGTGTTTTGTAGCTCGAGGGGACATCATAAATTATAATATGCTGTTATTATGTTATTATTAGTTCAGATGCTTGAGGCATGCTGTAACTGCAGTATCCTGATTTCCTGTCCAGATATTTTCTATCTTGTTTTGTAATCAGTTAACAGCTGGGATACATGTTTGTGATTAAACCTGTTTGCCTCTGCTGGAATTGTCTCTTCCTGTTTTCTAGTCTTGAGCTGGATGCTTCCATAACATCCAATCCATCTGGTGAGGCAGCTGAAGGATGCCCCTCTGCTCCGTTTGGGGTGCCAAGTGCTGCCCCAACCACCAGACAGGGTACAGAAGGTTTTGCAGGACCAGCTGGCTGTGGACATCCTCATTAGTGCCTACCAGGTACTCTACTTTCTACCAGCACAGCTGTGTGAAACATACATTTGCATCAGCTTTTGGGGTTAATTGGATTTATAGTATTTACCAATTAAAACATGTATTTTTTTGCCCCGTCAGTGTGCAGTTTTAAACTGTCGTTCTTGTTGAGCTACAGCAGGCCGACAGTATCTACATGCCAAATTCTCTTGTCCATACCGTTCATACTAAAGCAGATGCAAATCTGTTCATACAGCTGTTCTCGCATTAAAAAGAATACATAATTTGTTTGTCACTGAGATTACGAACCTACCATGAGTGCTTCTGAGAATGGAAATATCAAAGAGACTCCTTAAACAAAACAGGTGTTAACATTTCCCCCCTTCAAATTAATCTCAGGATTTATCCAAGGGATTTATTAAATTCTGTCTTTTGGCAAAGCTGCCTTTTTTATTCCCAGGTTGTTGCCGTTCGTGTACAAACGTGTGACCATACACAGATAGAAAAACACACACCGAAATGGTGTTTTTTTTAATGAAAGGTTGATCTACAGTCAAACTAAGCTTGGTCTCCTGCTGCGTAGAGACATATTCACAGTGTTGAGGGCTAAAATCCTGGATGGCGTAGTAGGAGGCAAGAAATTTGCATTAAACCTCTAAAATACACGTATATTAGAAAAATAACAACTTGTAGGGATTTTACAGAAGTCCAAAAGGGTTTGAATGACGGCAACAGAACTTTGGTTTGTTGAAGACGTTTTGCTTCTCATCCAAGGAGCTTTGTCAATTCTGACTGGAATATGGAAGGGCCAGTGTGTGCATTTCTTAGATATGTTTTCCAATACATGCATTGGAAACGACACACACTCCCTTCAGATCTATGAGTGGAAGTAAGTATTTCAGTATGAAGCTTCCCATCATATTCTCCACTCTGTGTGTGTGTGTGTGTGTTGGTTGGCCTAATGGTATCATAAATCTTTGACCCAGCTCTTGTCAGTCTCCATTTCATTTAGCCAACTGAGGGTTGGAGGATGTGGGATGGCCACGGAAGGCGATCGAAGTCTACAGTGAGTTCAGAGGAGAGAGGGAGACAATGTTTCTGTTGGCTGCCACTATGTGTGTGTTTGTGTGCGAGTGTGTGTGTTAGCTGGGGCATAGCATTACATTATGTATCGTCACCAGGGCTATAGCCTCCTAATGAAAGCTAACAACCGACTCCATGGTTCCTTGTTTGGTCAGCTGATAGCACACAAGTCT